GCTGTGAGCTCTGTCCCTGGTCGGCGCAGCAGAAGCAGCAGCCAGAGCAGCAGCTGGAGCAGGATGTGTTGCCTCTCAGGACTGGGACAAGAGCTGCTGCAGCCGCTCCCTCCCTCCAGTCTGTGCTGGAGCTGGAGCCAGAGCCCACGGCCAGCCACACAGGATCCTGCACAACACTGCGCCGCAGCCAGGCAGTGCTGGGTGTGCGAAGCCACTGCCTGCCGGGTGTGTGTGGTGTGGATTGAACTCTGGGGGTGGCCCCTTGCCCCACCACAGCTCAGTCTGCTTGCAGTGGCGCCAGGCTGATGTGCAGGATCACAACAGGGACAGGCTGGGACCTGGCTGTGCTGAGGCCGCCCTGCCACCAGCAGGTCTTGGCCATGCACGGGACCCAGCTCTGCTCCCTGCTGCCAGTGACTCTGGCCACTCCCAGGGCTCTGATGCGGTTGCACCCTGTGTCCTGCACCCCGCCTGGTACCCAGCAGCCACAACCCACCGCGCTGCGCATGCCCAGCCCAGCCACCACTTTCATCTGCACTGAACTGTTCCTCATCCCACCTGTGCCCATGTGCTAATCCGCCTATGGCACCCAGCTATAAATTTAGCACACATTTTTTAAGTCTAACTTAATAACTGATGCACCCTTTGCACCCTTTTGTGGTGCAATCAGTACGCGTAGTTGGTCTCAGTTTAACTGCACAGTTAAGCAGTTAATTGCACAGTCACTGTAACGGGTAGAGGGGGCCTATATGACACAGACCTAGCGACTGTCAGGCCAGAAGGGTCCACCCATGCTGCTGCAATCTGCTCTCTGGCATAGCACAGGCCACAGAGTTGTACCAAGTAATTCCTGATGCGGAGGGGGGGCAGCCATACATTATCATTAGCATCAATACTTTCCATGGAAGTGGGGGAACCTGCTTAATAGTCTCAGTAACTAGTGGCAGCAGTAGAACATTAAAGGGTTTTTTCTGACACATTAACTTTGACACATCTTCCTGACTAGGCACATGGGGCCTGATGTCTTTGCTGGTATGCTAGTGGTGGAGTCATTCATTGCCTGCTTAAAATGTGAATGAAACATGTGTGAACAATATTAGCAGAATCAGAATGGAAGCATGTTTCACACAACTCGGACAAGTGAAAGGCAATGGAAAACCAAACTCCTCCCTGGGAACTGAGGAACCTGGCTAACCAGACTGCACAGTAATGATTCTCAGCGGGGGGACTGTGGTACCGTGGGGTGCCTTGAGATCCTTTTGAGAGAGCTGCAGGGTGCTGCTCAATATTAGCACTGCTAAGTGTGTGAACACCTACACATGGCTCACAAGATAAACCCAGAGATTTCAAACTGGAGTTCATTGCAACAGAAGAATTGCTCTATTAATTTTTCATAGCCAAAATGCAAGTGCCAGCTCCTAGCTTTCATTTTCCAAGGGGTGCCTTAAGCCTAATGGGGGTGCTTTGAATCTAAAATGGTTGATAACCACTACTGTATGGGCATGGTTGTGGCCTGTACTGATTACCAGAGTGTGAGCATCCAGCCTTTGACAGTGGGTGCCCTTTCAGATGTCTCTAGCTGAGACCTAGCTGAGGCACCTGAAATCACCAGTCATTTTTTAAATGTTTTAACATATGTTGGAACCAAGGAAGACTCCTGCTCATGAGCAGTGCTGAAACAAGGCACACCCATAGGTCAGTCACCTGTTTCTCAGGTCACGTGGGACAAAGCACACGTGGAGGAATCAACCTTGTTAAAACCTAGCTGCAGACTTCATAACCCCCCCCACTACCACCATTTGTGGGTGGGCCCTCTAAAGGGAAGCTTTCCAGAGGGCACCAAGTTCTTTAACAACTTTGTTTAAAGCTTTGAGGGATCAACTAATTCTGCAACCCCATTCTCACTTTCAATTTAAATCCTCTTGACAGGCACTTCTTTGGGAATTGCATCTGGCCTACAAGAGAAGGTAGCAATCCATTATTACCTAGGAGTGCTCTGCTCAAAATCAGCTATGCCAGGTTTGTTAGGATATGTTTACAGTGAAGTCAAAGAAGTAGAGGTACCCAAGCTGGCTTGGTACCAGTCACAGCATAACATGAGCTAATTTACCCTGCTGAGGCAGGGGAAAACTGCAACTGCAAAGCAAAGCTACCCTGATTCACTCATGTTGTACTTATATTACCACAGAGCTTTCTTTAGGGGAGCTCGCTTTCATGGTCAGACCATAGCAGTTATACTTCGGGGTGGTTACGGACTCAAGAAATCCAGTGACGGTACTGATATGACTAATTGCCCATGTGAGCAAGGGGCCTTAAACTGATCCATAGGTAGCTAAATAAAATTTGCATTAATCCAGGTGTTTCCTAGAGGAAGCAGAGGACAATCTAGTCAACAGTGAGTTATCAGTTATTATGATTATTGCACCATCTTGTCGTGAAGTGCTAGGCATTGTCCACACACACACACAAAAGACAGGAACTCCAGATAGAGTTACATTTTAAATGTACAGCAAGAGGAAACAGATGGAGAAAGACAGATGGGGAACAGCAAGACAGTACTGGTTAGCTTGACAGGGAGCTGTCTCTGCTCATCAGGGGCTAAGTTTCTTGTAGCTGTTACAAGAAGGAAGAGTTAAGGAGAGACCTGAAGGAGGAAAACTTGATTTTGCAGATGTTCACAGGGAGCTGTTCCCAAGCCTGAAGGGTAGCGTGAGCAAAGCATGGAAGTGCCTCTTTGAAAATCTAACAAGTGATGGAAGCTGGTGTCACTGCCTGATCAGGATGGAAAAGCAGCATATCAACTACAAATGAGAAGTGAGAGGTAGGAAGGGTTTAGGGCTATGAAGGGCTTTGATACAAATTGCATATATCTGACGTGATAGAAAAGAAGGCAGCAGAAGCATTCAAAGAAAGGGGTGACATGGTCTCATGCAAAAGCCTACAAAAAGGACACAGAAAAATAGAAAACATCTCTCGTCTGCATTGGTCTATTCAGCACAATGGCAACCTAGTGCCACTTAATGTTGCATGGTTAATAACAGGAAGACTGCACTTTATTTTTCAATAGCTCAGTAAAGTTTACTTACTCTTCTGGGAACTCCACTGGCTTGTTCTTGATCTTGTTATGAAGAGCCAGAATGTACTCATCTATAAAAGGGCACTGAAAAACAAACCAGCAGTTTTCTAGCTCTCAGGCATCTCAGACCCCACTTAGCATTTGCCATTCAAACAACGGAAATACATTTTCTTTGAATCTGAAGTCAAATATCCCCAACTCCACTCCTAAGTGCACAGTTGCCTTGCTTAAGCAATTCAATTTAAACATTCAAGAGTCCCATGACCTAGAGAATGAAGCCGTGTACCGGGGTGCAGGACACCTGCATTCTACTCTTTATTCTGTCACTGACCTGATGGTAACCTCAAGCAAGTCACTGCATTCCTTGCTGCCTCAGTTTCCATTCTGTAATACAGAGATTATGATACTGGGCTCTTTTGTAAAGCACTTTGAGATCTACGGATAAACATCACGAAAACAGTCCTTAATTTTTAAAAAAAAACTACCTAAAAAAAAATCAACAAAAGTCCAAATGAATAGTAGTGAGAGTTGCTGCCCTAGTGCAAAGACCAGGCAAATGCATTTCTTCCAAGAAACTATCCATGGACAAGGGGATAGATTTCACGTACTGGGGGCATGTGTGTGCACACATACACACACACATCCCCCACAGGAGGGCCTCTCTCTAGCCACAACTTCAGCTTATGGAATAGTTCCCTCCTGCCTCTGTCCCCAAAGTATTTCCTATCATACTGGATTATTGAGACTTGTTGGGAAGCCTTTAGTCATAGTCCCTATTCAGGAAGAGTGCAGTCTTCCCTGTGGTGCTTCTCTTATGGGTACGTTACCACCATGTGTGCCCACAAGGGGATTTTTTTCAGCAAGGACCTTTGGAATCATGAACAAGTAAGCTAGACTTTAAAATGATACATTGGGAAATGCCTCTGCCGTGACTTCAGCTCAGAACTGTGCATTTCCTGCGACAGCTGTTTTATCACAACCGCTGCGTGCACTATGTTAATTGTTCGCAACATCAGTGACGGTGACACAAAGTTTGGCAAGGAAACAAAGCAAAAATCAGGTTCCAAATGCATTTTTTTTTAAGTTTAATCAGAGATCTGGCATCTTAAACTCTTTTGACAGGAGAGTTTTACAATTCCTAGGCGCTAACCACCTACCTGATGCCCAGAATATTTTTCTGCAATTGCTTTTCCAAATTCCATGTGGCTATATGGGTTCCATGAGCATTTGCTTCAGATGTGAATTTTTTCTTAGATTCCTATATGCCTCAATTCTGTCGCTTCTTACCAGAGTGACACGGGAGGCAGGATGAGAGCTGTTATACTGACTGAAGTGTGCTTGAATTGCTTTGCTTGGAGAATAAGTCGGGGGCGTGTGCGAGTAGCACATTGCACAACCCTCCTTACAGCTATCTAAAGAGACTAATATGAGCACCTGCTTTCTGGTGGGAGAAGGGCTGCCAGGCTCCCAAGCCGCCTGGTCCCAGCGAAGGGAAATAAACCTGCATTAGTTACTTTGAGGTCCACTGTGGCAAGGTTACTTGAAACAGGACTTCACAACTGGCTGGTTTTATTACTCTCCTCTTTCTCCCACCTTCAAGACTACATCTGGGGAGCTGTCATCACAATGAGGCAATGCCCTGATGGGTTCAGAATCCTCTCCCACTCGCTCCAGGATCTGGCTCCAATTTATTAGAAACAGAGTGGGGGCTTACCAAAACTAGTAAAATAACCTGGTCTAATTAAGTCATGTCTCAAGAATAACAAAGCCACCTGTGATGCCACTTGCTACCCTGATTGGTTATTGCTACATCAGTATTTGATCTGGGCAGTGGGAGCTGTAGGGCTCTGCAGGATAGGAGAGGAGGAGAATCCTATAAGGCTTCCACAAAACCATAAAGATACTCTGCTTGCATAGCGGGCTATTCTCATTGCTTTGCTTCTGCTATACTTCACTAGCATCATGGTGTCTAAGCATCTGGGTGGCTCTATATCAAGCCCATGCTTCTCTCTACGTGCTTTGCTGATTTGTTTCTAAATAGAGGCAATACTTGGGAAAGCCATTTTTATTGCCATAGATGCGGCTCTGGGCAGGAATGACCACAATAACATTTTACACATTTTTATTCCTCAAAGCTAACTTATTTACCCCTTGGCTTCAGTAGGACCATTTGGAAGAACAAGTGCTCGCAAAACGAGGCCCTTTCTTGTATCGTCGCTTGTGACTCAGTCAAGAAGATGACCAAGGTATTGCTTCTCTACACAATTCAATCATTTTACAATCATCTTACCTTCCCATACACAAAGCAGTACAGAGTAATTCCCATGGCCCATATATCGAGCGCCTGTAAAAGAGGCAACTGTACTTAATAAATCAGATATAGCATTAGATATATTTTAGAGCATCCAATTATTTTCTCAGACATAAAATACCCTTTTTGATTAAGAACCTGAGTCTACAGATAATGAACAATGACATTAGATAGATAAGGCACCATATCTACAAAGCATACTTTAATGCCTCTGGGTCAGATTCCACCACCTCTATTCATAAGGAGTAGGACTTTACCCAACTACCAGTCCCCATTCATTTCAATCAGAAAGATAATGCTCAAGCTGAGAAAGGCAGCACAATTTCTGCCTCCTGAAAGTAAGGATGAGTCAAAATCTGACATCATTTAGTCCAAGCCCCTGTAGGAAAAAATGGAAGTTTTGTCTGGAGTAACAATGGAGTTTGGAGCCCAGGATTTTACTGAACAGCAAAAGAAAAATAAATTTGCCCTAATATTCCTGGCTTTTAAACACAAAGGCACGTGAGCAAGGCTGGTTTCTGGTTTGAATGCTACCCCTCCTCCCTCTTTTCTTTCTTACTTTTTTAACCCATCTTGCTTGGTCTTGCTACACAGACCAGCACTGACCCACCTTTCCACTGAAGCTTTTGCCAGAATCTGAAATCGCCTCAGGAGCCATGAAGGCTGGTGTCCCAGCAGTACTGGAAAGTTGGGCGTCACTCCCTTCAAACTGATTGCTGACTCCAAAATCCGCTATTTTGACATGCCCATCATCTCCCAGGAGCAAGTTGGATGGCTTGATGTCACGATGAATGATCTTCTGATAGTGCACTATAAGGAGATGGAAAAGGGAGCTTCAAAAGGTGTCCACACATCCAGAAGAAACCAAAATCCAGAACGTTACCCTCCCTTCTCCAATGAGATGCTGGCAAATGTCCCACTCTAGAAAGCCACAGGCTCTTTCATACTTTCTAAAATCTGCAAGCTTTGTTCAGCCCTTTTAGCTTAAGTATATTTTTTTCCTTGCTGAGCTTGGTATTATTAGTTTTCCCCTGCATATTAAGCATCCCTTTAAAAAAAACATAGGTGGCCATATTTAAAAAGATAGTAACTTCATTGATGTGGTGTAACCACTTAGCCAAAGAGTTTTTATTTACACTCAGCATCATTTATACAAACACAGCTCTGGGAATAGACACAGTCAGATGACTGCTATTCCTGAACACCACAGCGCAGATTTAGCAGACGGCGGTGGAGGCTGTTGTGCCTGTTCTGTGTGCCAGTGGGTGATGGGGTGAGTGGATCTAAATTGGTATGGGACCAAGGACTTGGAAATAAATGCTGCAGCAGGGTGGCCACTAACTTCCTCGTGCGACCCCAGCCATTTAGCAGGGAGAATAAAGCTCGTTCCCACAATGCTGCCTCTCTGCTCACCTCTGAGAAGCAGGGGCTTATGAGTGCTTTTGGGAAAGTGCTGAGGCCTCCTGCTGCTAAGTGGGTTGAGGATGCTGAAATGGAGGAAATGCCAATGTGGCTGATGCAGCTGGCAGCAGGGACAAGTAGCCTTGGGCCAATACCAGTCATTGTATACCAAGGGTTGGCAGCCTCTTTGCCACAATGGACCACTGCTTGCAACCCAGCGCCCACCACAAACTATGTCCCTGCACTCCCACGATGATCAGCAGTGGCTGCCGGGGGAATAGATAGAAAAAGGTCGGTGCTACGACCACGGGTATGTCACCTGTGCTGCTGTGAGCTGGATCCAGTCTCTTCACAGGCTCAATCTGGCCAGGGGGCTATAGGCTGCTGACCATTGCCATATACTGCTGCCTAGTTCCTGACCTTGATCCAGCAGGAGAAATGAGGTACCTGGCTACTTGTCCATGGAAGCCATAAGCACATGCCTACAGGCAGGGCCAGACACAGTCATGGGCGAAGCAGGTGATTGCCCAGGGTCCGGACAGAAAGTGGGCCCCAAAATGGTAATTATTATTATCATATTATCATTATTATCATCATTATCTATGGTGAAGGGGGGCTCAATACTAAAAGTTTGCCGGGGGCCGCTAGGAGTCTAGGTATGGTGCTGCCCACAGCTTTGCTGGAACACAGCTGGACACATGACATCTGAACAGGATGCTGCACAGTGTAGCAGGACTGCCAGCTGTGTCCAGGTCAGCGAGATGAAGGGCATGCAGCAGCTCTGATCCTGGGGCTATCAACCTGGCACACCTCAGCAAGACTACACCTCCTTTAAACAAACACAAAAAGTACTTAAGCAAGCTGAAAGTACTTAAACAAAGAGAGCAGGTATGAGCCAAGTCCAGCAATACAATGCCCAGCGCGCAGGGTGGGGAAGGGGCAGGGAGGTTGCTGTAAAAGGAAGTAATCTGAGTAAAGTCTTGCAGATTTTGCAAAGTCACTGTGACAGCTACTCACAGGACTAAAGTTTTGCAGGGCTCTGCCCAAACCTGCTGTTCTACCTGGCCCCTCACAATGGAGTCAGAACTACAACACGAAGAGGAAAAGGTTTGGAGGGGACATTTCAGAAAGGGTTTATGTTAGATTGAGGGGGGTCTGATATCATTCCTGGGCCAGGGCTAACCAACAGGCTAGAAATCAGCATGGATTTTCAGTTTGAAGGATTCTGCTCTGAACCCTTGAGCAATAAGCAGGTTGACAATCCTAGAAACCTGGAAGATAGCCTTCTGCTCTGCTTGTGCCTTGTCCAAGAGCCTGAGAAAGTAAGCTTTCTTACCGAAGAGAAAAGAATGAAACATAAAAAAAACAGTTCACAAAAAACTCACTGCCACTCTGACCACTTTCGTGTTCAGGAAGGTAGCCTTATAAACCTCCTTTTTATAGCAATCATGTTCTTTCATGCTGACACCCACTCTGAGATGTTGTTATAATAGGAAGGTTTCAATTATGATCAGGCCAAATGAACTACTTTGTTGGCCAGCTAGAACTGACTCTAAATCTTTTCTGGTAGAAAGTAGTGGCAAACATCAGACTTGGCTGAATTACACGGAGGTTGAACAGCCTGTCAATATACTCCACAAGGTAAAGAGATACCCTTACGCTACATGTTTTACAAGTTACCCTGGTGGTAACACTGTTGTTGCAAGAAAATGAATTTATGTGTTAAAGTGTGAAGGAGAAGACTCATAGACTCACAGAAAAGTGGGGCTGGAAGGGACCAGCAGAAGTTATTAGAGGTGCACCGATACATAGGTCTGGTATTGGATCAATATGAAGAAAATTGTCTATGTCGGATATTGGCCCTATGGGGCTGATAATTTGGCCGATAAATGGCTATGCTGCACGCAGCCGCAGGGCACCATGGAGCAGAGCCGGCAGCGTGGAGAGCTGCCTCCAGCTGGTAAGCTGGAAGGGCAGGGGGGAGGAAGGGGTGTGGAGGGGGGCAGATCAATGCTCCTCATGGTGAGGGAGGGGACAGGCAGGTGCTGCCCAGCTGGGGCAGGAGGTGGAGGGTGCAGCTCCTAGGGTAGAGGCAGCTCCCACTACTGCTTGCACCCCAGGAGGGCAGGGACACACACACACACACACTGGACTTACCAACTGGAGGCAGCTGTAGCGGATATAGGATTGGTATCGGCCGATATGTCTTAAATATCAGCTATCAGTATTGACCCCCAAAATCTCTATCAGTGCACCCCTAGAAGTAATGTAGTCCAAACTCCTGCCAGGGACAAGATTATCCACATCCAAACCATCCTGCAAATCCATTGTCTAACCTATTCATAAAATTACAGTCAACCCTGACACAATCACAAGATGTAACACCCTAACCTGCCACAGGTGAAGCAGGGGGACAACAGTGGCTAATGTCCGGCTGCTACAAGGGTTGTTAAAACACACTCAAGAGATCCAAGGAAAAGGGCTATACCCCACTCTTCCCTCGAGGAAGACAAAAGCTTTGCCCCCCCATCTGTACCAATCCGACTACAAGGTAAAACTCCTTCCTGACTCAATATAGAAATTGGTCTGACTGAGCAGAGAGATGAGATGTGTGTGTGACACAGGCCTACATGTTATGCCATTGGATGCTATAGCCACCCCAAAACTCCCTGTAGCCACCCCTCCCAGCACCACTGCTGCCCACCCCGCACAGCTGAGCCTGTCCCACTCCCAGGCCCGCACCGGGAAGAGGCCGTCTCTGGGGACCGCTGGGCTGAGAGGTCCATGGACTCTGTGAAGCCCACGGAGACCTGGTCGCCCTCTTCCTGGCCCTGTGGTTCAGTGGGTTCCTCTTGGCGGCTGGGAGGGGTGGTTGTTTTCCTTTCCTCTGCCCCAGTGGTGGTGTGAACCACCTAGTCCCTGTTTGTTCTGATACTGGTGAAGGGAGCGTGCAGCCCCTTGGGACGGGGTGGGCTCAGAGGGTGGCAGGGCAGAGTCTGGGGGTCGGTGCAGGGTCTTCCCTCAGGGTTGTCCTGGGTGTCAGGGGGCCCTCTGTGTTGGGACCACGTAGCAGGTCCGAGATGGTTTCTGCAGTGGTTTGCGGTGGCACAGGAGGAGACCTGTCAGGCACCTTCGTGATGTCAGTGCCCTCCCCAGAGGCTTGGGGAAGGAGCCCCAACAGGCTCACTAGCATGAGCCCCAGGGCTCCCCCCTCCCCGAGATGCTCAGCTGTCATAGATCTTCCTCCATGGGGTTGATCTTTTTTATTTTCCCTGGGGGTGGGTGTCTAATGCAGCTTGGGGTGGGGGGGAGGGTAATCAGGGATGTCTTTCAGTTTGGCTCCCTCTTGGTGTGCTGGAGGGGGGCTCCCTCCATGTCAGAGGGCCTGAGCTGTGCCTGGGAATTCACTTAGCTTTGGCAGCACTGCACCACCCAGAGGGGACCAGTACCCACTTAGCCACAGGGTGGTCTGCGGGTGGATCAGCTCTGGGGGAATGGGATGGCTTGGGATTCGTAGTTTCATAGTTTCTAGGGTCGGAAGGGACCTTAGCA